GGATCACTTCCGGTACTACCGTCAAGTCCTTCCAGCAATGCTCCAGTCACAGTCCAGTGTTGTCAACCGCCAACCGACGCACTCGCCCGACGCCTCTACTTCACTTTGTCAGGCAGGTCCTATTTAAGAGATTTCTTGATTGCGAACAGGTGTGGCAGTAATCAGGCCTGGGTGTGGCTAGAGAAATTGAACTCAGGTGTGATAAACCGCAGTTTTAAGAGGGGGGCAAACACTTCTTCACACAGGGCCATGTATTTTTGGATTTTGTTTTCCCTTAATAATAAAAACCTTCATTTAAAAACTGCATGTTGTGTTCACTTGTGTTTATCTTTTACTAATATTTAAATTTGTTTGATGATCTGAAACATTAAAGTGTGACAAACATGCAAAAAAATAAGAAATCAGGAAGGGGACCAACACTTTTTCACACCAGTGTATTTTTAAAACAGGCTTACCTTTTCAGCAGGAGGTGCCTGGGATGCCTTTTGCAAAGGTTTTACATTGTGACCCTTAGCAGGCGTCCCAGCTTCCAGTCTCAAAGATGTAGTCTCAAGTGGTTTTGAGGTAGCACAATGAAAAATGGACTCCCGGCTGTCGAATAGCCATTCCTTTTAGTCATGGCTTGAGGATTTCAGAAAGGTTTTCCAAACACATCCTTTTGCTCATGTAATGTGTAGTAAGTAAAAATGTATATTAGTATATAGCCTATAGTTTATATGTGTACAGTAGACACATATACTGTATAGTAGATATGTGAGTGAGTCACTGAATCAATCACTCAATCAATTCATTCAAAAATGCTGATTCATTAAGGAACGAATAACACTACTGTGCTCAGATATGCAGATCTGCTTTGAAATTGGTTGGAACTATTTTGGAGGAGCAAAAATAGACAAAGTAACTGGTAATACTAAAATATAAGTGACTTACCTTGTTTACTGAGCTGTTGTATAAAGCAAAACAGTTGTATTCAATAAACACAAGTATGACTGATAATTTGTTTATCGTTATTATCCTTATAAATAGATAAGGCAGATATTTAATGCCATATATTTTATTCAGTGTTATTTTAGTATAATTGATATACTAATATAGTTTTTGTTAATATTTTTAAATAGTTTTTTTTTCTGTTTTAACTTTAATTTTACTTGAGTCATTTTGTTGTGTGTTTTTGTCATTTTTATTAGTTTTTATTTTCATTTTATTTATTTATTTTGTAATTTATCTTAGTGTTTTATTTATTTTGAAGTACTTCAACTTGAAATGGAGCTCAGAAATGGTGACTGGAAACTAGCTGAATCAAAATAATGTTTTTAGATTTTTTTATTTTTTTTACTTTAATTATATTTCAGTGGACATTCATTTTATTTTTAAATAAAATGTTTTTTTTTTATGTTTGTAGTTTTAGTTTAGTTAACGATAATAACCCAGATATTATGTAGGAAATTCTTGAAAATCTATTGCAGTAGATATTGTGGAGATGAGATAGTTATAGAATATATAAACATTTGATTCATTATCGCCCACACCTTATTTGCCCTTTTAATTCAGCTGCAAACAGAATTACTGCTATAACCCTCTAATAACTCCATAATCTAGTTTTCCCTGTCAGACTAGTGTTTCTGCAAAGTGTGGAATGGATTTTATGTTGGACTGAAGAGTACACATTTTATCGAAACTACGCGCCACCTAATGGTCATTTCAATGACATTTCTAATAGGCCCAGAAACACACATACACACCCACTTACTCACACCATAAACAACAACAATAATACATGAATATGTTCCTGCCTCGTATGTTCTTTTGATACTTCTCTTTGTTAATATATCTTTCAAGACTTTAAAGGGGTCATATGATGCGATTTCATTTTTTCCTTTCTCTTTAGAGTGTTACAAGCTCTTGGTGCATAAAGAAGATCTGTAAAGTTGCAAAGACTAAAGTCTCAAATCCAAAGAGATATTCTTTATAAAAGTTAAGAGTTAGCCACACCTACCTAAAACGGCTCGTTCGAACACGCCCCCACATACCTACCTCACTATGTGGGAAGATTTGCATAAAGCCCCCAAATGTTCACGCAAAGAAAGAAAGCATAACTTTGATTCTCGCTGTAGTATTGAATGTACAGTATGTGGAAAATAATGTGTTTTTTTTACTTTAAACCGCATAAACACATTTCATTACACCAAATACACAAAATAATGTTCTTTTTAGCAGCATCATATGACCCCTTTAATGATTTGTCAAACACAGTTAGGGAGAGAGAACCAATTTAAACCAATTGATTTATTTGATATGTGACTTTGACATAGATGTGTGCTTTAAAAACATTATTCAAATAAATGTGTAATGGAACAAGCATTTGGACATGTTTTAGACATTTTCACAGATTTTTACAAAAAGCAAACCCACACCGCCCACCTCTGGCCACTAGTAAAACTAAACACACTGAAAGATCTGACCAACAAAATGAGTCGATTTCAGAAACACAATAACAGATCATGGCCAAGTGAAAATGCATTTTCATACTTTAAAACAGGGTTGTCAAACTCAATTCCTGGAGGGCTGAAGCTCTGCAGAGTTTTGATTCAACCCTAATTAAACACACCTAACTAATCCAACTAATCCAACTAATCAAGTCTTATTTAAAACCTACATGCTATGTGTGTTGGAGCAGGGTTGGAACAAAACTCTGCAGGGCTCCATCCCTCCAGGAATTGAGTTTGACACCCCTGCTTTAAAACATCAATATCCATTATATACAGTGACAAAGTAAATGTACAGGTAGAAGAAGCACATTATTATTAGTATTATCTTGAGCATTATTTGAACATCATGTGAATTGTCAAGAGGTGTGCTGTGCACTACCAAAGTAACACGGAAATGTCCAAAGTGTTGTCTTGCAAAGACTGAAACCTGCTCTTTGTGCTTCATTCTGAGAAGCATTAAATGTGATACTTCCTCATCCACTAGATTTTTAAAGAAAAGCTGCTGCTGTAAGTCAGGCTTTTGCAAAAATTGCATGCAAACCAAATTTACCACAAACTCACCACATAAGCATTTGCACATATCAACCTCTGTCCTACCTATTTCTGTCTCATATGCACACAACCACTAAACCAAATGGAAAATTTGTGGTTAAGATTGGTATCTTTTTAACTAAGAATTAAGCAAGACCATTTCTTGAGAAAAACACACAGACAGTGCAACTGAGTAAAACTCCTTTGAAGAGAAACTCTGATGCTTTGAATACTTGATTCAAGTGTGATTTGATTTCAATTTGGTTTTAACTGTTCAACAAAATCAAATGTACAATTAGTAAACAGGCAGATCTAACATGCACCAGTCTGAAGGAAAATAACAAAAAGAAAAAGAAAAATGTATGTCACTACAGAGGAGTAACTAAAGTGGGCATCTGTCTTTTTTCTTTATAGTATTAAGATCATTTTAAGACTGCCTGCTCACTTGTCACAAGCTGTTTTCCAAACACAGTAACCTACTCAGCATGGGCTTATTGTAATTGGGCTTATTGTAAAATTGAGTCAGATAAATGTTGCAGTCATTCAGTTTCAGAGAAATATACACACATTAAACTAAACATCACTTAACACAGGAAACCCATTTCTACATCCTGTTATTCAGGTCATCACTGTGAGCCCACAAAGACTGTACTAAAGTGCTTTTATTAGCGAGAAGGAAAAACTTGTACTGCACTGAGTATCAGACTAACAACTTTACAGGTTTGAATTTTTTAGCTCATAAAAAAATCTAAAGTATCCAATTACATATCATTTACTTTCATATGTAATAGAAGAAGCTCCTCTACCTTGTATGATTGCATGTGAAGTTACATGATAATGAAGCCTGCAACTTTTCTAATATTTGAAAAGTTTTAGAATCCACCTCAGTTCTATTTTAGGTCTATTCACTTTACGTTCTGACCTGAGCATAAGTACTGAAGTCAGAACTCTGCACTCGCTTTGTCTTGTGTTGTTTCTGTCTCTTGGTGATCACGTCTAAAGATACATAACACACCTCTTCATCCATGCACTAAAATGAAAATTTAAAAAATTCTGTTTTAGTTATATATATATATAGAGAGAGAGAGAGAGAGAGAGAGAGAGAGAGAGAGAGAGAATGTAATATTCGTATTGTACATACCTCAGTGGTATTTCTACCTTTTAACTTGTCTTTTTGATCTCTCACAGCATCTATGGATTGTTAAATTAGAACATCACTTACATACATAAACGGTTTAAAGTTTATGCACTTATGGTTATGTTACATTTCAGTTTCTAACATCACTATTACATCTTGTGTGCAGGCTTTGCTCATCCAAATCATGCTAATTGTCAAAGGCTGATGATCTGTATATTAAAGTAAAACACAAAGGTCTGTGAATTAGTGAATGATTACCTGTAGTTTTCTTACAACAGAGGCAGAACAAACAGATGGAGAAGAGGAGAACACACACCGGACACACACTGAACAGCAGCATCCAGCAGAGCACACAGTCAGGAGGTGCAGAGGGCTCAGAACAGGAAGTCACTTGTTCAATATAAACACAAATGTATTAATACACATATTGTTGTTCTGTTCATCTTGTTTTTTCCCTGAGAAAAGTAAAGTTCTTCAGAATTACATAATCAATGATATAATAACTAGCAGAAGTGTTTCCTTACATTCCAGAGAGAGACGAGTTGTTCGGTTTCCATAATAGTACACTTCTGATGAGGAGATGATGCCTTTTTCATCTTTATTTACCTTATTCTCTTTTTCTGCACAGTAGTACTGTCCCAGATCAGAGACACTAATATTAGTAATATGTAGATCATAAGAATTACTGTAGCGGTTGTATATAGAGCTGAAACGCTGAAATATCTCCAGGCCCCATCTCGTAAAATCTATTATGAGAGAGGGTTGATTTTCATGAGAGCAGTTTCGTATCCATACAATGAGGGAACCGTAAGTCAAAGAGCGATCACAGTAGAGAGTGATGTTGTCTCCTGGTCTGACTTTCATCTCCACTTCTTCTCCATTGATTCTTTTCTGATGGAACAGTAAAACTATAAAAGAACAAAACAGCTTTATAAAACGCTTCAAATTGTACTATTATATAAAAAATATGCACAGTAGTGACATTTCATTTAAAAAACAGCTGAAGAAGTATAATTTTTCTTACACATAAGCACAATGAGAGCAACTCTTGACCTCTCCATCTTAGTGAGTGATTGTGAATAACTGACACTGGTGAGGGTCTCAATGTAGATGTCAGATCTCATCTGATTGGTTCACGTCAGCGGAAAGTTTTACCTAAAGTGGCCCGCGTCATGAGGGGTTGGCAGTAGACTGAGTTGTTGTTTGGACGTACAAAGAGTGAGAGCAGTTTTAATCAGTCACCAGTTACCTTATAGACATTTTTTTCCTATTTGGCTTTGTGATCAGCCACCTGATTGGTTCAAAGTGGAAATGTTCGAGATTAGTTTATCTGATAGATACTTTTAGCAATATCTTTGATTCAGACTTGCAGATAAGCATAAAAATAAAATGCAAATATAAATAAGGTGCTTTACATTTCACATTCAATCAGTCAGTCAGTTCATGCCTGTCATGAGTGTCTAGTCTTTTGAATCAAAGTTCACCTGCAAAATTCATTCTTTGTTTTATTGTAATAGGTTCAGTTCAGCATCTAAACATGTAAAAACAGGAAACCCACAAGCCTTATATTCAGACCGCTTACAAACACTTCACATTTGCAACACGTCATGAGACTCTCTCTTCACATCTCTTAGTTGATCATTGGTCAGCAGGCACAAATGTTTCCATTACCTTTGTGTGGTTTTGTGTGTTGCTTAGAGTGCATGTATTTGCACAAGGGAAGCTTGCTAAAATCACTGTGTCTAATGCTCTATACTGTGGTTAAACAGACACTGACGGCTGTCCATCAAGCTAAAATCAGCTACATTAAATTATGAGACAATGCAATTCAACATAACACAAGTGAAGATCAATAAATCATGTCCAACTACAAAATATAAAGAAAAGTGCAATGTTAGCAAGACTAACTGGTCCTTATGGGTAAAATAGGTCTATGGGAGTATAAAAACAGCAGTTTTTTAATATTGAAAGGGAGTGAAGAACCATGCATATGTCCCATACTTCTTATGGTCAAACTTATGCTAGACAGTAAATTTAAGAAAGCAAATGCTTTCAAATATTTGATACGTGATTCGAATGAACATGTGGTGTAAATTGGACAATATTTCACAAGGTGCTAATACAGATGTGGCTTTTCTTAATACTTCCTCAACAAACAGGAAGCACAACCACATATAGGCCTACTTCATGTATCAGAAATGACGCAGATGTCTGTTGTTCAGGGTGTTCAGCACTGGGAGCTGTCCAGTGTGCTGAATCTCTTCTGAAAAAAAAATCTATGTGATTAAATATGATGAGAAATAGGAAAAGGATAGTTAAAATTCCGTCAGTTACTCATCCTTATGTCACTCCAAACGACTATAAAATTATCAGTAGTTCATATTAATGGGATGCATCCCATGTTTTAAAATCCAAATATAGCTGCAAGCAGGGATGATGGGCCCAAGCCCCAGTGCCACGCCGGTGGCATCAGGAAAACAGTGCACAGCGGCCACATACATTTAACCCACAGCAATGAAAGGGTTACTCTAGAATATCAGGAGTGTGAAACAGATACACACAAGGAAAGGTAAGATGTATAAAACTTTTAATGACCTATAAGAATGTTTAAATTATTTTAATGGTCTATAAGCATTTGTGAAATATTTATATTAGGGCTGTCAATAGATTAAAATTTTTGATCAAATGAATCACACCCTCTTTCTGTGATTAATCGCGAATAATCGCACACTTCATTTATACTTCACACCATTTATCTTGTTTCAAATGTTTATTTTGTCCTTATTTGCTAAACCCAGCGAAGTAAACCAAAAGATTGATGGGTGATTCTCAAAAATCTGTATTTTCTGCAAGCTTTTTTCAAGATACAGTTAGATGTCTTTCCAAAAAAGAACCAAATGACATAAGGAGCCCATATAAGCACATATGAAATTTTAAAAAAAAAATGCTAACAAAATTTTGGCAAACAAAACTCAGAATTGTCTAGTATGTGTACAGTGCAACAGCAAAGAGTTTTTTTACATTTTAGAGAAGTCAAGTTGCGATACCGAACAGGACCACATGGAGATGCGAAAAAAAACCTAAACCAACCGCCTACTGACTGCATATATCTACTACAGTACACGGATCCATTCAGAATAACTAAACACAGCAACATACACATGACAAATCAAAACATTATCGTGAATGTGTGTGGAAACAATGTGAATGTACGGAAATGTCTGTGCCTGTGCATAAATATAATGTGCGATCAGTGCGCCAAGAGCAGTCATACACGCATTAATATAACGGACTCACACGTGCTTACTGTAGGCTACGACTCCTGTACGCCACCACAATCGTCTTTACCTTGATTGCAGTCTTCATCCATCAAAACTTAAAAAAATACTAGCACGACTGGTTATCCAGTCGAGAAAACTTAGTTTGCGTCTCATCTGGCCATACAGCGGTGGGATGTGTTGACAATCCGTTCAGTCTGTACTTCACGCAGCGCGTGTGACGCGAGGACTCGCGCTCTTCAGAGACAATCACAGAATATGACAGAGCTCCTGTTTTAAAGCGAAACACACTGGAATGAATAATTCACTGAAAACGCAACACGAGTCTCTGTTCTCTCTGCAATCTCTGATGTAATCAGTTGGATGGATGCATTCGCTTACTGGATCATTGGACTGAAAACTTTCCCGGAGTTTAGCGGCTTAAAATGATTAAAATGAAAGCAGAGTAGCAAAATTAGGTTAAAGGGTTAGAATAGAAATTGTGCTTCAGTAATTTTGCATTAATTCGTTAAATTATTTTAACACGTTAAGGATTTTAAAATTAATCGCATGCGTTAACACATTAACGTTGACAGCCCTAATTTATATAAAACTATATTGACAGTACAGTACATATCAACTGATTCTATGCATTCTATGCATAATCTAACTGATATAAACTGAGAAGATAAAAATCAGGCTTAAAAGATTTCTTATTCTATCTATTCTATCC